CTAAACTGCATTAAATAGCAGGAACAAAAACATCTGACTCCTTCACAGAAAAAGGCTATACAATATAAGCATTAGGCTGGAAAATAAGAGTCATTAAGCTTCCAATCTTGTTTATCGGCCATGGGACTGAAAATATTTGGTACAAGAGATTATGTTTTAAAACTAGATGCAAATGTAGAGAGCCAGTTTGGTTTACTGGGTAACGTATGCGGATAGAAAGCGCGAGACCATGAGTTCAAGTCCTGACTTAGCCATGAAAACCAATTGGGTGACCTTGGGCCAGTCACTCTCAGCCCAACCCATTTTATCACAGGTTGTTGTTGTTGTGGGGAAAATAGGAGTAGGAAGGTGTGATGGATATGTTTGCTGCCTTGAGTTTTTTGTAAAAATAATAAAGGCGGGAAATAAATACATAAATACATACATACATAATTTTTTCCTCATAACAAAAATCCTGTGAAATAGGTTGAACTAAGAGAAAGTGACAGACCCAAAGTCACCCAGTGAATTCCATGGCTGAAGGCAGACCACAAGCTGAATTTCCTCACTCCTAATCTGACATCTAAACCACTACGCTGTGGGTTGTATTAGTAGGGGAGCTGCACCTTCAGGTAGAATGACGACTTCATGTTAGATCCTTGGAACAATGAAGAAACTATTTGTTTTCTTGGTATCCCAATAACAAAGAAAAGAACAGTGAATACAGAGATAGACTTGCAGGGAGATATCAGCAGTTGGGGACCAAGACTATTTGCTTGCTTTAAGTCAGTGGTGGCGAACCTATGGCACGGGTGCCAGAGGCGGCACTCAGAGCCCTCTCTGTGGGCATGCGTGCCGTCGCTCCAGTCCTAGGCCTTCAGCTGGGTTTTATAAAACTTTTTTGCTTTAGGCCTCCACCGCTGTGTGCAAAAACAAAAAAAAGGTCAATCAGTCAATTTCAACTTCTGGCGGGAAAAGAAAAGGTCTTGTAAAGTTGGAATTGATTGATTGAACTTTTTAGTCCCACCCAGTCTGCTGTTACCACTGCAGCCATGCCTACCCAATGGGCCACACCCACCCGGCACTCGACGATGCATAAGTGGGTTTTGGGTTGCAGTTTGGGCACTCGGTCTCTAAAAGGTTTGCCATCACTGCTTTAAGTCTTAACAGGTTTTCTGTAGGATAGAAATTCTACTGCTTGCTAGTGCTTCAGGAAGACCTTCCTACTTATTTAAGATGGTCATAAAATGCTACTTCTCAGTCCAGTGTAATAATTAGTAAGAATCCCTTAACTCACAATTTAATCATGAATGAATAAGTGGGTCTGGCTCACTCTCGGCTGAGTGAGGACATTTTCAGTCTACTTAAAACAATTATTTTCAAAATGCAGCAATGTGCATGACCCATTGAATGAAAAGATGAAGTAGCAGTAGGCTTTTGGAATTTATACCTCTACTGAAAAATTCTATCTGAAAATCTGGACATATACATCTGTGATAAACCATCAAGACATTGAGATTCTGCTGATGTACCACTATCTACTACCCAACACTTCTTTGTATTTCTGAAGTGACCTTTAAACTGATTGTGCTTACAGTGTCTCCTTCTAAATTTAGTGTGTTTGGGGGGAACACCTAATATTGGTATCTTATCAACAGGAGCAGTTGGGGATTTAATGATTTCTAGAATGTTTAGGAAGTGTACTCTCAAATTTAATTTTTGGAGATCAAGATAAATTTTTGTTTAGGAGTTATAATAATAATAATAATAATAATAATAATAATAATAATAATAATAATAATAATAATAATAATAATAATAATAATAATAATAATAATAATGATAAAGTTGGAAGGGACCTTGGAGGTCATCTAGTCCAACCCCCTGCTCAGGCAGGAAACCCTATACCATTTCGGACAAATGGCTGTCCAGTTTCTTCTTAAAAACTTC